GTGTTATCACAGTTCACGGGCAGGTCGTTGATCGGTCTGACTTGGGGCGTATAGAAGTCTGGATCGAGTCGTTTATTTTACACGACCTAATCACGACTGTCATAACGACTGAAACACGACTGCCATTCTGAATGTATCAAGTCCCATTGACCGTATTACCACCATTTAACGATCTTTATACGACCCTGCTCGTTAAATAGTCGTGAACAGTCGTATTTTGGTCAACGTTGAGAGGAGAGGTCAAGAGGTCAGGATAACGTTACGTATTATAATCCTGATGACCGAAATATACACAACATATATCAGTCATATGTGTTATTTTTCTGGTCCATTTCTTATGCCTTTTTAATCATGTCTTGGTTCATCATTATGAGGGCCTGCATTGGGGGTTCTGGGAACGCTGAACGCTACATTCAGGACGGTCGGTAACGCTTCATCTGTAAATTTGTTTCTTTTTCTTTGTTTCTTTCGCATAAGCTGGTAAACCACACCACTGGACACTACAGCTCATGAGGCACATAAGAACAATACTCGTTGTATCCTCCGACGGTTTGTTTCAAATGTTTTTTTTATTTTTTTTATTTTTTTTTTATTGTCCTTTCGCACATAAAAAAAGTAATGGTATAAAAAGAAATTATGTACAATCAAATACATGCAGGAGAGCCCAAGAAACCAGGAGGTTTATCTCGTGGGCTCCCCCAAATCCTGTTGATGATCTCATATTTACAACATTATTTACGTTAACAATTAACATGCATGTCTTAAGGGACAAACAAGAGTATAATATAAAGTTAACACGGCAAACTAAATATCTAAACAATAAAGTAAGACAATCAAAAACATATCGTATACAACAAAAAATACATTTCCATTAGTCAAATCATAAGTTAATATGGTAAGAACAACATAAGAAACCAATATTAACGCAAGGAAAATATCGTAGCATAAGAAAACAAGGAAAACAAAAGCAAATCAGGAAGTGGTAGATGGCTTCTCTATTAGGTCAGTTTTTAAATGTCGTTTGAAAGTTGGAAGGGATTGGCAATTCTGCTGTGAATGACTTATACTGTTCCAAATTAACGGGCCTCTAAACATTATCGTAAACTACGTTTGTGAAGATTAATCATCCAGGATAATACTAATAAGAAAAGTTTGAATCTTTACTTCTGGATAAAATAAGAAAATAATGTCAGACGTTTCAGACGCCGTCCGGCATCTTTCATCAGTGAAATATTCAAAATTGCGGTAGAACTCGGAACGGCACCGTTAATTCTAAAAGTATTTATGTTCTAAATAAACAAATAATAAGTTAGCAACAAGCGTTCTATAGATTCTATATACAATACACATGGTAAAGTATTAACTAATGTAATGATAAAGATAAGTGAGTCCCTAGATAT